TGCTTCTGTACCTGCAGCTGAAGCTTGCCTGGATGACTTATTGTTGGAGTTTGATTTCTCTTCAAAAATGAGATTTTGAGATTTTTGGAATCACAAGATGTGACATCTGAGCTCCTGGCTGTCCTGGTCCTTTGAGCTGGCCTTCCAACAGCTTTTTAGGGGGTCTGTACTTACTAAAACCTTAAAAGGCAAAGGAGAAGGAGTGGAGCCAATCTGGATTAGAAATGATGCCATTTGGTAAGGGTGCCCATAGTTGCACAACTGGGGGTTTGGAAGGTGATGTTGTCTTGAGTTTTGTGAAAGGGAGGGTTCACCTCCTGACTCTGCAGCCCATGAGCGTGCTGTTGTCAGGTCAGAACCTCTCGTAGTTATCTGAAGTATGGACGGATCCTGTCTGATAAACATCAGAGCTTTTAATGCATTAATATCCTGCCCTCATGGAGTGCTGGTACTGGTTTGCAATACCATTGCAGCCAGGGTCTATACCATAGCATTGCAATGAATTCTGGAGATGGAATTTGTGAAACCTCATCCTACAATAAAAGAAAAAAAAAAGGACACTTTCCAGTTTGTCAGGTGTAACCCAAAAAGTTAGTTGAGCAGGAAAGGTATGAAACTAAAGAGATTTTTTTTCTACAGTATTCAGGTTTTTAAATCAAAGTATTTTTTTTAAGTAAAATGGTATGCTTAGTTTGGGCATTTTTTTTTCCTCCCAGTTTAAGGTCGATTTTCTAACAAATACTGGTTTGATGCATAACCAAGTAGTTTTTTTTAAAAAAATTGAGTGTTTCAACATAACTTAAAATTACTCGACTCCCCAAACTTCAGATTCAAACTTTCTGTACTTTCTGTCTGTGGTGAGATGTTGGGAGCCAGGGTGCTGGAGGGGCAGCTTCCATGAGGAGAGGCCAGGGCTGCCGCATGCTTAACGTGGCCGGTTCCAACAGATCCAGCTGAGTCCCTCCACCATGAGTGGAGTATCTCTGGGAGAATGTAAGCAAGAAAGGATAAAACAGCAGTCAGAAGCAAGGAAAAAAAAAAACAACAATGCGAAACTGTGAGAAACAGCTCTGTAAACACCAAGTTGAAAGAAGGAGAAGAAAGAAGAGATGCCCACAGGTTCCAGAGCAGAGATTTTCCTGCAATCTGTGGAGAGGAGACCATGGAGAGTGAGTAGATACTCACACTGCAGCCCATGGAGGACTCTACACTGAAGGAATTGGAGATTTCCTGAAGGATCTCTGGCCTGTGGAGAGCCCACACACGAGCAAGCTTATCCTGAAGGGCTATAGTCATGGGAAGGACCATGCTAGACCACGGAAAAAGCGAGGAGGAAGTTGCTGCAGAGAAGAGCTGTTATGGACTGACTGCGGCTGCCATTCCTCGTCACTGGCTGCTCAAATAAGGGTGCGAAGAGGTAGAGCAGTTGGAAATGAAGGAGTGATAGAAATGAAGATGAGCCTGGGAAAAAGCAGGGGCAGGGAAGTGTTTTAAATTGAGTTTCCCAGCATTCAGAGCTATGTTAATGGCAATAAATTGGTTTTCCCCAAGTTAACTTTGTTCTGCCTGTGATGGTAATTGATAAGAGACTTCCCCTGTATCTTGACCCATGAGCTTTTTCCTGTTTTTTCTTTCTCTGACCTGTTGAGAAGGAATGAGAGAGCAGCTGGATGGGAGTCAACCAACCCTAAAGATTTTCTCAAATTTATATAAATTTTGCCTCTATTTAAAAGCCCAAGGTTATAATTTTGCTTGAATGAATACTCCTGCTTATTTCTTCAGGCCATTCTCTAGGAAAATAATTAAAAAATATGTGCCTGACATGCATTTATACTCCTATGCATTTTCAAGTCTGTGTAAATGCTCTGACTTTGTGGAAGTAATTTACAGAGCATAATATGATACATAAATGTTTTACATGTTGATTTGTGCCTTTCAGCTTTTTCTGTTACAGTCATTAAATACATGGGACAAAACTACAGGTGCCAAGTTGCTGCACTTAAGTTTTATCATCTCTCCATTGCAGTTATTCATACTGGTTTAGTATGCCTTTGCAGTAAGCATCCATACCAAATTTTCTCTTGAGCATTTTCTACTTTTATTAAATATTCATTAAATGAGATGCATGATATTTGTGCACTCTGCTGCTTAGTGCACTGAAAACCCAGAAAATGCGTTGTTTGTAAATTCTTTATGCAGAGTGAGCCAAGGTTTTCCTCTACTGAAGCATGTCAGGGTCCAGGACACATTGCTAACAGCGTAGTGTAATGTTGTTCTGCATGCAGGACTGATCTGGAAGATTTAAGACCTGAAGAATGGGTACAGCAATTCCTGTGTGTCTCTAGTGCAAGCTGCAGTGTCTCCTGACCTGCTGTTCCTGATAGGCAAGGAAGTAATTATAAACAGGAGAAATCAGTATTTTCTTGCTTCTTTGTCAGTAATGTTAAGGGTAAAAAATAAAGACGTTTGGGCGGATTAAATCGGTTAATTTTTGAACTCAGTCATGCACATTGTATATAGCATGTATCTCAGTCAAATTCAACAAAGAGTAAAAATTGTCCAAAGTGTCAGAAATTTATGCTGGATAACAGTGGCTTGGTGATAAAATACCAGAATTCTAACTGCTTTTCTATCTGCGGTAAGGATTAGTCAGAACACCTCTAAGAACCTGATTTTTGTCCAGAATGGAATGTCGTGTTAAGAAAAAATTAAAGATCTCAAGATTGTTATGTTGTATGTTGTAGCTTTTCTCACTATGCAACCACTTATATTCGTAATTCTGACTGTCTGTTAATGAATTCCTCCCCAGAAAGCTGACTGGGTTTTTCCATGGAGGTACCAGCTCTCTTGGTATCACAACCCTACAGAAGTCTGGTTAGGATGAAGCACATGATGATGATAACCTAGCTCCTACTGTGTATTTATTGTGTATGATGAATGGCCTAGAGGGGAAGAAATCTGTGTGCTGTGTGTGATCAACTGCTTGTTATAATAGAGGAGCGTTGCTTAATCTGAAACTGGAGACCGACATGTTTTGTTTGGTTTTGTTTGCATTTTGTGAGAAGTGTTATCAAATAGCAGGAAGAAGCAGCCATAGGTATGCTCAGAGAGGTGATTTTTACTTCAAGTGTTTGGGCTTTTTTTTTAAAGTGTTTATTTACAACATAGGCTTAGGCTGTGCAATCCAGCTTTCTAGCTACAAACTACAATTTGTTTCACTTGGAGCAGGATACAACTCAAGCTTGTTTTGGGCATATAAGATAAACATATTAGGTAAATAAAAATTAGAACATATTAGATAAACAGACACTTTATGTTTGGGAAGAAGCATCCATAGGTATGCTCAGAGAGGTGATTTTTTACTTCAAGTGTTTGGGCCTTTTTTTTAAAGCATTTATTTACAACATAGGCTGAGGCTGTGCAATCCAGCTTTCTAGCTACAAACTACAATTTGTTTCACTTGGAGCAGGATACAACTCAAGCTTGTTTTGGGCATATAAGATAAACATATTAGGTAAATAAAAATTAGAACATATTAGATAAACAGACACTTTATGTTTGGGTTTTGGTTGTTTTTTTTTGTTGGGTTGTGGTTTTTTAATACATAAAATAGTGTAGCGTGATTTGGCTCTTGCTAAAAGAAAATAATCCAAAGAATTCTGCATCAAATCTGTGACACAGCACTTCAAAATAAGTACAGATCGATATTTCTTTATATTCTTATTACAAAATGAAGTTAAGCCAAAATTGCAATTGCTGCCTGGAGCCCTATCTGAAGTTACCTTGCAGTACTATCTGAACGTACTATGCACTGCTATCTAAAAAGCAGCATTGTAAAAATATAGTATCAGTGTTTATGTATCATCTGTTGCAAGGGATTGTAAGCAGATAACATGGAGCAACAGAAGACAGATATGCCCAGGGACTTTTCAAAAAAATGTCTTCTCACCCTTGCTTTTTACATGTTCAGTCATTCACTGGTCTCTTTTAAATTCACACTGTTTTTATTTTCCTTATCTATAGTTTTCTACGTAGGTTTGGGGTTTGTGCTGGTGGCATCATAGACTAATGTATGCAGCTGTGTTCTGGAGACTGAGTTTATTCTCAAGAGTGATGAAATTTGACATTCTCACATTTCATACCTTCGTCCTTACACTGCATCAACATGTACAGGTTTCCATTGAAATTTTACTAGCACTTACTATTAGCTAAGCAAATGAATCCTGGCTTACACAGTACATGTGCACAGGGTTTAGGGATGTGTGAAGGTCAGCATAACGTGTTCAACTCTAGGACTTAAGGGGAAAACATAATCTCCATATATGTTACATTTGCTTCTCTGATGAGATCGAAAACTTATCTTCTGCTCTTTGTGTTTCTTAGTCATCTTCAGGGTAAACTAAGAGAGTAACCTGTATGGCACATACTGGCTAGTAAAAGTACATCCCAGAAAAAAGCCAAGAGTTTGCTGATGTGTGTTAATTCATTCTCCAGCATGGTGGGATGTGCAATTTTGAGGTGGATTCTTGAGTTGAGTGACTTTTAGTTTTGGTATATTCAAGACCTTAGGCCAAAGCATTTTGCCGTATATAAGTTATTGGTTCTTTATGAGATGCCATGATTTTAGTGAGAGTTTGGAATTAAAAGATCTGGGTTTTGACTAGAATAATGCTTTGGTTTGCACGTTCAGCTTGAATGTTGTGTTTTTAGATGCCTTCTAGATCAGATTGTTTAAATAACATTAATGTGATTGCTGATGCAGTGTATTTTCTAAGTTTAATCATACCCATGAAAGTTCTGTAATAAAACAGTTTAAACTATGTAATACAATAGTTTAAAACATGTTCACAGTAAACCTTACTTTATTTCTTCATGGATTTTAAGCGTTTTAGACTAATTACTCTTTGATACAGTTCTTACTGAATTAGCTATAAAAACAGTTAATGTAAGTTGCTTTTAATTATGTGCCATTAATTTGTTTCTCTCCTTTTGTTTGTCAG